CGTCGAGGCGAACAACAAGCATGGACCATCGACTCGGATCACCGGCTCTGAGGAAGACGAAGACGTCGAAACGTTAACCGGAAATAAATATATTTATCAACCTCGTGCAAGCTTATCAAGAAAGAATACATATTGTAATCGAACAGATACTCGAGATCTTAATGGATAAGGGATGCAACAGAACGAAGTGCAGAAGATAACACAACATGTGAGGAAGTGTCGTCTAGGTATGTAATTACTTCAGCACATGTCATAAAACCCACCAGCTATTACTGTAGCCAGGTATGAATGAGGCAATGATTGTCTGCAAATCCTGGATATGCAGAAAGTTAAATGTTTCGAAAAAGTTCAAGAATTTTGATGAAAAATAGCATTGTGTGAGACACGTCCAATACGTGCGGCTAACTCCTCGCCCTATGGTTGTCGAAGGACCAGCAGTAGGCAATGTGTTGTAAATTCGATGTTTTTCTTCAATAAGGAGACACGAGGTTGTTATTATGGAATTTACATTTAAAATAAATTCTATAATAACAACCTCGTGTCTGCTTATTGAAGAACAACACCGAATTATCAATCAATGCCGAGGTTAACAGAAAATCGGTCTTGTGAATATTTTGTCACACTGCTAGTTATGCTCAGATAACTAAGTCAATAACAGCAGCAAATCTCACGCTTTTCAATAACTAGCGGGATAACAAACCTTCCCAAATTCGAGAACTGATCTAAAGTGGCAACGAGACAAGCAGAAGTTCAACTTTACAAGAAAGGTAGAATTATAGAATTCATACTCGTTTATGGAGATTGATCCAATCTCTGCCTTTTCCTATGTTATTTACAAACCTCTTTTCTCCACGAGTTTTCGTTCTATGTAAACAACAGTGTCGGTATACGAGCGCTATAAAACGAAAATGAACACTTAGCGAATGGCCTTGGATAACATTCGATAGCTAAATCGTATAATAGAAAATATGGAAAACTGCTAATGGTCGACCGTGACCTAGTTTCGAGCTGTGATACCAACATCGAGATGGTTCAGTGGAAAATTTCCATGCGTTAAGACTGAAAAAGACGAAACAGGTTAAGAATTGTAACCACTACGAACCTGCACCAGATTCTTTGCCTCATTCATAATGAGAACGACAGTCGCTATAAAGCCAGAGTAGAAGCAGAGACGACGTTTACTCGCTGCATGACCATATGTCAAATTGGTTAGCGCATTTGCGATCAGCTTTCGCAGAGATCGGTGCTCATTTCGTGTTGGGAAATCAAACACAGCTAGTTCTAAAACCAATAGTTCAGCTAAGCAATCCACCAGACCTGAAATAGAAGACATCAACATTGATTTACCATAACGCATATCCAGTTATCAAAAAACACTGAATACAAACCTAAAGTTATGGCCACCTTTCGATATTCTTCATCAAAAGATTCTTTAACAATACAATCAAGTGCACTAAAAAGACGTGGATAGTATGAAGGCGCCGGCACTGAACCATGAGGGAGCCTCCGAAGATAAAAAATCTGGAAAAACAGTTTCAAGAACAAATTCTAAGACAACGGAAAAAGTTTGAAACGTTCAAAAGTTGATACATCATAGCCCGCAGTTATGCATTATTCTTAGTTCAAAATTCAAGCATGGTCGCAGACCTGTTCTCGTACGCAGTTCGATGGTGGTAATGCCCTTCGCAACCGCCGCCTTCTGCAAAACAGTGAGATCGAAGAGAGTTAGACACCTTTGTATCACTATCCACTTGTGAGTGAATTATGCCACAAAGACAAAACATTAGCAAATAAATCTTTATTCTAATTCTATACCACAGAATAACCACCATAAAAAAGGATAAAGCACTCGGCGTTGACCAATCCCTGAGGGATGCGCCATACATTAGACTTCACTAAGCATCGTTTGGAGCTGATTGAATGCATATCTGGCCTTTACGACGACCCGCGGTGGCCTACCGACGTATCGAGCCAGTGTTGCCATCTTCCTAGACAAATCTGGTACCAATTTGCCGACCTCGGATTAATGAAAGGCTTGATGGGCCATGAACGCGAGGATCGATTCCACGCGTGTGTTCCAGAGCGCCTCCGACCACTGCGCTACACGCGCCTCACGTAAAGACCATCATATCGATGATTTCATTTCATTCATTATCGTTTGAGGACGCTCATAAATACACGAGTAAACCAACAAGGTTAAACCCCGGACAGAACAGTGTGTGTATACTTGATACTTCATACTTGAATGGCCCGTCCTCACTAGTTGTGCGGGCCTCAGCATAATCTCCATTTTTCGGAGACTTGCTGGTTAAGCCACTGTGGTTCCCTGGAGTTCCGAAGTCAGCCTGGCCAAAGTTTGCTCCAGGTCTTCACCACCACGGGCTGTCGCAACCCTTGTGGATCAGAGGGAAATTTGCCACCCTGCAACTCTGATACCAGGACGGTGGTGGATCCTGGTATTGGTTTACTCTTAGCTAGGCTTCCTGAACGAAATGCCGGACTCTTTCTCAGCTTGGGAGATCCTGCCGGGAGGACGAACCCCCCTGCTGTACATCGCAGTCCGACACTCAGGAACACCTCTGTCACGATGAAGCGGTAAACCGTTGGGTGGAGTGTGTGTATAAAATTGACCATAGTTTTCAGTGGATCAATGAGTATTTTCAGTGAGTTCAAACCAAAAACAAATTACGTTACGACATACGTTAGAAGAAATTAACAAGATAACCTAGACGATCTACGAAGAATCAAGGCACGTAACTTTGTGTTGTGTGACCATATTTCAAATAGAAGAGTGCTGAGTCTACCTATGGTAGAATTACCTAGAGTCATCTTGCTCTCGCATAATCACAGAATGTATTCGTTGATGAGTGACTCTCAGCAGTTCATCATCTTCTTCAGAAGTTCTGCGATGCCGCGCATTCTCCAAGTTTAGCGATGACAACAACGCACCGATCGTCCGGTCAACGTCCACAATCTGGAAATGTCACGGACCATTTATAGTTAGGTAATAAGAAAATTCAGTAACCCACGAAATCATCTTTATAATATTCATAGGCAACTGATGAAGATGGAAGTTGTCCTTGATTACTTTCGTCGGGTTCATCGTCCCTGATTTCCATCACGAACCCTCTGGAAAGTTGTTTATAAACTTCTGATGTAAGAAGGAAAAAACGTAAAACCGCGACTAGTAATGAGTACATTGTGCACAACTTTGGATTCCTTTTCACAACACATCAATATAATAGTAGAGTACAAGTGTGTATCACATGAAGAATGACAACATATTCCACCAATGGTATGTAACCAGTAAGAACATGTCATTTGTATGAACTTGTAAAAACTGGCTTTCCACGAAATACGACTCTCCAATGAAAGCACATTTCCTTTCTTTGGATAGACCGACTCGAGTGAGATGGCCTTGGAGTAAAAAACCACGAACTGCGTGACCTCCATGCGATTTCGGGTCTACAACGGAGCGAGAGCTGTCTGCATTCTCACCTTCCCGGCTTCCGACATGACTTTCACCGCATCGTACATGCAACAGCTACTTCCAAGACAAGAAACACTTCACGACATCAGCACCACTCAGCCAACTCAACAGCTCTCGCTGCTCGTAGCCCCAGCTTTTCCTTTCACACATGTCCATCCGATACCACCTATTCCACTTAATACAATGCTCTCGGCCGAAGAGGATGTCCCTCTAGATCTCTCTGTACCGAGTCGTCGAAACACTGTGTGTAGCGACAACGAATCGCAAAAGACCATATCCGATTTGCAGTCTCCATTGTCGATTTACGGAAATCCAAGTAGTGAATGGATACCCCTTAAACCAGAAGCATCAATAAGCAACAACAGAATATCTTACCCAAGAGAGTTCAAGCTCATGGTTATCGATCACTACAAGGAGAATGGACAAAACAAGTACCGCACTTGTAAAAAATTTCAAATCACCAAGTCCATGCTAAACGGATGGTTATCAAAGGTACAGTATTCTCTTATAATCTTTCTTCTATTGCCATCTATAAGCATCTTCTTTACTCTCATGGATAAAAGT